ACACACTAGCTGTGTATGCAAAGGGAAAGTGTTTTTGTGAGCAATATCCTTAATGAAAAAACAGGTTGTTAGTTAATGGGGCCACTCAAGAACTTGGACATGCGAAAACGCTCGAGATACCATAACTTCCCACACACCTAGGTTTTGCATCCGAGCACAGGCCAGCATGCTCTTGAGCCCATACACTAAGCATGCATGCAAAAAGCAAGATGTTTGAGCACGCTCAATTGTAAGATAACCAAGTTGAGGTCTCGTAGGAAAATGCTAAAGAACTGGAAAAAGGAACACATACAATACCATTACTTTTTGCACACTTAGGTTTTGGATCTGAGCACAAGCCATGATTATCTTGAGCCCATGCACTAACTGTTCATGCAAAACAAGGGCTTAGAAATTGCTTTGTATATGAAAAACAAAATGAAAAGTTGAGGTTTTGTCTGGAGCAGTTTGTCTGGAGCACTTCGTCTAGAGTACGTTGTCTGGAAAATTTCGTCCAGTGCTTTTTGGTCTGGAGCACGTTCGTTTGGAGCACTTCCTCTATAGCACTTTGTCTGGTGCACTTTTGTCGAGAGCACTTTCATCTGGAGCATTTTTGTTTGGAGCACTTGGTTTGTAGCACTTGGTCTAGAGCACTTGGTCTGGGGCACTTGGTCTTGAGCACTTAGTCTGGTGCACTTTCGTCTGGAGCACTTCATCTAGTGCACGTTCGTCTTGAGCACTTTGGTTTGGAGAACTTTCGTCTGGAGCATTTTGTCTGGAGCACTTCGTCTAGTGCTTTTTGGTCTGAAGCACATTCGTTTGGAGCACTTCGTCTGGAGCACTTCTTCTTGAGCACTTCGTCTGGTGCACTTTCGACTGGAGCACTTTCGTCGGGAGCTCTTTCGTCTGGAGCACTTTTGTCTGGAGCACTTTTGTCTGGAGCACTTTCGTCTGGAGCACTTTGTCGGGAGCACTTCGACTGGAGCAATTCGTCTAGAGCACTTTGTCTGGTGCAATTTTGTCAGAAGCACTTTTGTCCGGATCACATTCATCAGGAGCAGTTGGTTTTGAGCACATGGTCTGGAGCACCTTCTCTGGAGCACTTGGTCTAGAGCACTTCGTCAGGAGCACTTAGTCTTGTGCACTTAGAGGTGTCTTTTCAGTAATCTCCGTGGTTCGTTTACAAATGCATGGCGGTGTTCTTTCTACAACTTCTGCGGTGAACATGTAAATGCATAGAGAAGTTTATGTTCACCATTTTTAGTATTCAGCATGATTTGTTGCAAACGTTTGGCGGTGTTTTTTATGGATCCGTTTTTGCAGGCTGCAGTACCCTTTCAGGCATGGTTCAGTACAATTAGGGCATGCCTCGTTTGGATTTACTTATAATGCAACAAGCAAATTATTCCTGCACGTTACGTTCATAACTTGTTATCTCGAAATTAATCCAAGGTCGAAATCACCAATAATTAGGACAATGCTTACAACAACAAAGTAGCGCGACGCTGGATATTGAGTCCTGCACATTAGGTTCAAACATTGTAATCAAATTAGTTTCCATACGACAGCAATTACAAAAGCCGGCTTACCGAAGGAAATAGCTCGTGGTAGGCTACAAATTTCTGCATGTCATACGAGACATTGTTGTGAAATTAGTCCGACGATCAAATGACCAGCGAGACTTACAATTGGACTTACATGGGGAATTATCTCGATGTTGGACAGAGTTACATAGCTAGCTGCGATAAAGACAAGCATCGTGAGGACACATGTGAATCATTAGTTTGATTGATACGTCAAGTACCAACAAATGCCTTCAACCCCAATGGCGCATTAGCTCATGAACATGCAGATAAGAATGACATGGGTGAACAAGACTAGTCACCTATGAGCTGCTTGAAACGATAGACCATCGTGAAACGAGATCCTCAGCATAGGGCACACTAAGAACGACCGTGGTAATTGAAGCCTGTGGGAGAGGAAGGAGCTGCTCACTAGGGGGCGCGAAGGCGAGAGGGGGAGTTGAAACTGATGCAGATAGAACTGCCGAGGACTATTATTGTAAGTGACGTCTAGCTGGAAGGCATGAGAGGGCGCAAGGGGGCAAGTAAGGAAGGGATCAGAAGTGTGTGGTGGGCTCGAGTGCTGGCATGTGGGGTGCAGCGTGGTGGGCTGGGTGGTTGGGGCGAGGAGGTGGTTGAGCTGGATTAGCCGCTCTGGAACCGCTTGGCAGATTTTGATTGGTTGGACGAGGTGCAGGGGCTGAGTTGGATGAATAAATTTTGTTGGGTTCGGTTGCAGGTTTGGTAGGGGGCGGGGGTGTGTGATTGGTCAGCACGTCATTTTGTGAATAGGGGCATGTTTCTACAGACCCGAATATCAAGCAAATAGGACCTGAAATTTTGGATCCCAGAATCCGCGCGCTCTATAGCACGCTGTAATTTGCGATCAATTCGGTTCAGTTCGGTATTCACAAATTTCATAAAGCCGTGTTTCGCACCGATTCCGTTGGACTACGCCCTTCTTGGTGGTTGGATGGAGGTGTTGTAACCAACACTTGTTACTGTATATGCTAAAACGTTTTCGATATATCTCAGTGTGTGTCTTGGATTTGTTTAGTATATTAAATCGCTTTCCATGGGAACTTGGCTTTCTGAATGTATCTAGACTAATATGACTTCATGCTAAAGATAAAAAGCTACTCTTGTTGCTAAAATTGGTGCCAAGTTCATGTACTCTTACAGAACGACCGACAAGTCGTTCATAACCTGAAAAGGTCGCATATATATGTGGCAGGAATAATGTAACAAACTTGAGGGAGAGAAATTGCGACCCCAAAATTCAATTTGGCTTTACGACCCTGGACCAACTCAGTTACAAGGTGTCGTTCATATATGTAGGGTTACATAATTTCCATTTTCTGCAGGCGTCGTAGATGATGCTAGAGAAGAGACATGGTTAGCATTTGCCAATAACGACTGAATGTCTGAATGCGTGGCCGCACGGAGATCACCCACAGAATGTGGTTTGTTGAGAGATGCACGGGGGAGTGAGTGGATAGGTTTGGGGTGAAGTCTGGCTTTTAACGGAGAGGTTGTCCAAGGTGAGCTTGACTGGCAATCATGTGCCACCCGGTAGGCTGCGAGAGAGCGGGGAGGAGGGGAGGGGGGGAGGGGGGGGGAGGGAGGGGGGGGAGAAAGAGATGGGGGCATACGTTAGTGGGGGGGCGGGGGGTTGAGAGGGGTTAGTTATAGAGTGTTTACTGCCTGTCCTGCCGGGATCCCGCTCACACTTACTGCCCTCTCCCCCTCCCTTGCTTCATGCCACTACCCCTCCTCTGTCCTCATGCCTCTCCCCCTCCCCTGCCCTCATGCATCTCCCTCTCCCCTGCCCTCATGCCTATCTGCCTCCCCTCTCCTCATGCCTCTTTCCCTCCCCATCTCCTCCAGCTGTCCCTGCCTCTCACGCCCTCATGCCTCTCCCACTCCTGCTCTCACTCCTACCCCCCTACCCTCACTGCACTCCATCTTTCCCCACTCTCCTGCACTCATGCCACTCCCCCTCCCCAACCCTAACACCCTCTCCCCCTCCCATGCCCCTCACGCCTCTTCCTCCCCCGCCCTCACGCCTCTTCCCCTCCCCATCTCCTCCAGGCTGCACTCTCCCTTTCCCCACTCTCCTACTCGTACCCCTCTTTCCCTTCCCTTCTCTCACCTCTCGCTCCCTCCACGGCTCTTGCGCCTTCCCACATCCCCCCTTATCACGCACCTCATACCTCAATGCTCTCCCATCTCTCCCCCTCCCCTACTCTTACGCCTCTCCCCCTCCCCTGCACTCATGCCTGCTCTCATGCCTCACTCTCTCCCTGCTCTCATGCCTCACTCCCTCCCTGCTCTCGTGCCTCACTCCCTCCTTGCTCTCATGCCTCACTCCCTCCCTGCTCTCACGCCTTCCCCCCTCCACTGCTCTTGTGCCCCTCTCCCTCGCTTCTCGCATCTCCCCCTCGCTACTATCTGTTGTCTTCCCCATCCCTGCGGCCTCGCTTTCTTCCCTGCTGCTGCGCCTTGACCCTTGATCTGTTTTCATTCAATGAGAAGGCAGGGGATTGCGGCGCGCGAAAAAGCGGGTAACACGTTACAACGTGGGAAAGTGGGAAGCGACACGCAAGAGAAAGCAGGAAGCGGTCCGAGAGGTGAAGCGAGCGAAGCGAAGCGAAGCAAAGCGAAGGGAAGCGAAGCTAAGCGAAGCTAAGCGAAGCGAAGCTAAGAGACGCAAAGCGAAGTTAAGCGAAGCTAAGCGAAGCGAAGTGAAGCTAAGCGAAGCAAAGAGAAGCAAAGAGAAGGGAAGCTAAGAGAAGCAAAGCAAAGCTACGCGCAGCTATGCAAAGCGAAGCGAAGCTAAGCAAAGCTAAGTGAAGCTAAGGGAAGCGAACCGAAGCTAAGGGAAGCGAACCGAAGCTAAGCGAAGCGAAGCAAAGCGAAGCCAAGCCAAGCCAAGCCAAGCCAAGCCAAGCAAAGCTAAGCGAAGCGAAGCGAAGCGAAGTGAAGCGAAGAGAAGCGAAGCGAAGCTAAGCGAAGCGAAGCGAAGCAAAGAGAAGCATAGAGAAGCGAAGCGAAGAGAAGCATAGAGAAGCGAAGCAAAGAGAAGCGAATCTAAGAGAAGCAAAGCAAAGCTAAGCAAAGTTATGCGAAGCGAAGCGAAGCTAAGCGAAGCTAAGCGAAGCGAAGCGAAGCTAAGGGAAGCGAAGCGAAGCTAAGGGAAGCGAAGCTAAGGGAAGCGAAGCGAAGCTAAGCGAAGCGAAGCAAAGCTAAGCGAAGCTAAGCGAAGCAAAGCGAAGCAATTGGGAGACATGGCATGAGAGGCTGTGTCATGTGATCTTCCCTATGCTGCAGAAGTTGGTGAAGGATGGGAGCCTGAAAGGCTTGGAGGTGAAAGGGGGAGTGAAGGAGATTGGGAGCTGCCCTACATGCTTGGAGACCAAGTTCTCCAAGTTCCCCTTCAACAGCACTACAGGACCAGCCAAGATCCCACTTGCACTTGTGCACATGGATGTGGTGGGGCCCACAAGAGCCCTTTCCCTCTCAGGCAGCCGCTATTTCTTGACAATTGTGGATGACCACACTCGGGCAGTGTGGGTTTACCCTTTGAAGAGCAAGGGGGAGGTGGCAGCGGCTGTCCTTAAGGAGTGGATGCCTAGAGCTCAGAGGGAATGCGGACACAAGGTGAAGGTGATCCGCAGTGACAATGGTGGGGAGTTCATTGGAGCTGATTTTGAGGGGGAGTTGAAGAGGAAGGGGATCCAGCATCAACTGACAGTGCCCTACAACCCGCAGCAGAATGGCGTGGCTGAGAGGTTCAAAAGGACCCTGCAGGAGGGGGCACGCACTCTCCTTGGGCGTGCAGGGCTGCCTGATCCGTTTTGGGTGTCTGCACTGAGGCAGGTCACCCTTGTGAAGAATAGGGTGCTGGCTACAGTTGGGGAGAAGGAGTGGATCCCATATACCAAGTGGTATGGGAGTGCTCCAGCTGTGAACATGCTGAGGGCATTTGGGTGCATGGTGGTGTTTCATGTGCCTAAGGAGAAAAGGGGGAAGTTGGAGGCTTCTGGAAGATGGGGTGTGCACTTAGGGATTGCAAAGGATCACAAGGGATGGCTGCTATGGGACTTGACCACCCAGAAGCTAACAGTGTCAAGGGATGTGAAGTTTCTTGAGTCCCTGTACTACAAGGAATGGAAGCAGCAGCAACAAAAGCTTCCATCTACACCACTGATTGTGGAGGCAGATGAGTTGCAGCAGCCTTCAAGGCAAGTGGAGGTTGCAGTGTCTGAGGAGGAGATGTCTGGGGTGACTGAAGAAGGGGGAGCAGCTGAAGTGGAGCAGCAGCAGTAGCAACATGAGTCTCCACCTCGCGTTCCACACCCGCCTGAGCGACCTAGGAGGGATGTGCGCCCTCCGGTGAGGCTGACCTATGGGGGAAGAGGCAAGCCGAATGTGGTGCAGGCTGGGAGTGTGGTTGAGCAGATTGAGGAAGATGAGATCGCTCACTGCTACTGGGCACCAAGCCCTGAGCCCAAGACTCGAGAGGAGGCCTTGAATGGACCAAATGGGGAGAAGTGGAAGGCGAGTGAGGATGAGGAGTTCGGGTCCCTAATTGAGAACGAGACATGGGACCTGTGTGACTTGCCTCCTGGAAAGAAGGCAATCACTTCCAAGATGATCTACAGGCACAAGTATGGACCTGAAGGGGAGCTGACCCGCTACAAGTCTAGGCTTGTGGCACGGGGGTTTCAGCAGACAAAGGGGAAGGACTATGATGAAGTGTTTGCTCCTGTGGGGAAAGGAACAACACTGAGGGTGCTGTTGGCGATAGCTGCACTCCTGGGATGGAAGATTCGGCAGATGGATATTGTGACTGCCTTTCTGAATGGGATCATTATGGAGGAGGTGTACATGAAGCAGCCAGAGGGGCTGGATGACGGGAGCGGCAGGGTCTGCAGGCTGAAGAAGGCCATCTATGGCCTTAAGCAGGCGCCTCGTGCATGGTATCACAAGTTGGAGGAGGCGCTGCTGGCTGGGGGTTTTAAGAAGAGTGAGTGTGACCCCAGCCTGTTCCTGCTGCAGGAGAAGGATGAAATCCTCATGCTCCTGGTGTACGTGAATGATATCCTTCTCTTCTCTGCATCAACTGCTTTGCTGGACAGCGCAGAGCAGATGCTGGAGATGCAGTTCAAGTGCTCCAAGATGGGTGAGGTGAAGTACTACTTGGGGATGCATGTGGAGAGAGATGTGGAAAAGGGTGTGCTGAGGTTGCACCAAAGGAAGTACTGTGAGGGGCTGGCTGAGAAGTATGGGCTGCAAGATGGGGGAAAGCCAGCAACACCACTACCTTTAGGGTTTACTGTGGAGCCATGTGCTGATGAGGAGGTAGTGGGTGAGAGTGACAGGAAGCTGTCTCATTCGATGGTTGGGTCACTGAACTATGCTGCAAATCATACACGGCCTGACATTGCATTTGCTACATCACGGTTGGCTAGTGTGGTCTCACGCCCTAGTCATGAGCAGCTGGAAGCGGCCAAGAGGTTGGTCCGCTATGTGAGTGCTACGGCATCAGTGGGATTGGAGTACAGTGGAGTGAGGCAGCGGTTGCAGAGAGGTGCTGCAGATGTGAAGAGTGGAGAGATGCTCTTGAGTTGCTATACTGACGCTAGCTTCAACTCAGTGAAAGCGGATGGCACCAGCATTGGGGGTTATGTGTGCTTGCTAGGAGGTGGTGCTGTGAGCTGGCGCAGCAAGAAGCAGAATGAGGTGGGATTGTCCTCATGTGAGACTGAGTACATGGCCTTACACCATTGGGTCAAGGAAGTGGTGTGGCTGAGGCGCTTGTTGGAGGAGTTGGGAGTTGGTCAGGAGGAGCCGACAGTTGTGTTCTGTAACAATGAGTCTGCAGTGAAGCTAGCCAAGAATGCTTGTCTGCATGGGCTAACAAAAGACATAAGGCCTAAGTGGCATTGGGTGAGGAGACTCCTTGATAAGGAGGTGCGGCTAGAGATAGTGAAGACCCATCAGCAGGCAGCAGATATTTTCACTAAGCGTCTGGCGGAGGCGGATCATTGGAAGGGCATGAAGCTTGATGGGATGAGTGTGCATTGAGTATGCATGCTTGAGATGTTGGTATGGTGGATGATGGTTGGCAGCCAGAGAGGGAGATTGTTGTGTGATGTCATCATATGCTATCACATTCTGTCTGCCTCCCATCTCTTGTTTCAATTCGTATGTATGGTTTGACTCTGTGTGAAAGAATTTGTGTGTGGTGTGTTCTGGAGTTTGGGAATGTGTTTTGTGTTATTCTGTCTGAGCCGGTATTTGTGATGATAGATCTTGAGAAGATCTTTCCGACGCAACAAGAATCGCTTCAATCGGAGCAAGAACGCGAAAGCTATGAAGATTCAAAGTTCATGAGCTTGCGTTACAATTGCGGCGGTTACAAAGTGAAGTTGTGGGGTGACTTTATATGGAGTTGGGACCTTTGGGGTTGGGGAAATTTGTCACTCTACTGTAACAGCTGCAAATTGGTTGGGAACAACCAAGCTAGGTTGGCAAGGGTGGCCAACTTGGATGGATTGGTTGGGAAGGGACAAATGTCAAAGTTGGGGTTCCTATAGGGGGGGAATCTTTGTGATAATGGGGTTTCCTTGGTTGGGGACTCTCTTGGGACCTTCCCTCTCATCCCTCTCTTTCTATCCCAACCTTTCTCTTGCTCCTCTAATTCCTTGTGAGATTCTTGAACTTTGATTAAACTTTTGAGATTGAGTTAAGTTCTCCTCCTACAGCTTACCCCCTAGTGCGTCGAAAGCCATAGCGTCGCGAATACTTCATTAATCAACGTGGTTCGAATTGGGAACGGTAGCTGAGCTTAAGAGCTACAACATATCCAAGTTTCGCGACATTCCAACGGCTAGATTTTTGTCGACGTCGTTTCTTGTGAGGACGACTTTTCTGTCCAGAATTTCGGATTTATATTTTGAGTAATTCTAGCTCCTAAGTTCACCTAGACTCCGTCCTTAATCCTAACAAAGCTAAGCAAAGCTAAGCGAAGCTAAGCGAAGAGAAGCGAAGCAAAGCCAAGCGAAGCTAAACGAAGCTAAGCAAAGCTAAGCGAAGCGAAGCGAAGCTAAGCATAGCGAAGCTAAGTGAAGCAACGCGAAGTTAAGCGAAGCTAAGCGAAGCTAAGCGAAGAGTAGCGAAGAGAAGCCAAGCGAAGCCAAGCGAAGCGAAGCGAAGCAAAGCCAAGCGAAGCTATTCGAAGCTAAGCGAAGCGAAGCGAAGCGAAGCGAAGCTAAGCAAAGCGAAGCTAAGCAAAGCAAAGGGAAGTTTAGCGTAGCTAAGCGAAGCAAAGCGAAGCTAAGCAAAGCGAAGCAAAGCTAAGCGATGCTAAGCGAAGCGAAGCGAAGAGAAGCGAAGCGAAGCCAAGCGAAGCTAAGCGAAGCTTAGCGAAGAGAAGCGAAGCAAAGCCAAGCGAAGCTAAACGAAGCTAAGCAAAGCGAAGCGAAGCTAAGCGAAGCTATACAAAGCGAAGCTAAGCGAAGCAAAGTGGAGTTAAGCGAAGCTAAGCGAAGCTAAGCGATGCTAAGCGAAGCGAACCGAAGAGAAGCGAAGACAGGCAAAGCGAAGCTAAGCGAAGCTTAGAGAAGTGAAGCGAAGCAAAGCAAAGCGAAGCAAAGCGAAGAGAAGCGAAGCTAAGCGAAGCAAAGCGGAGAGAAGCATAGAGAAGCGAAGCAAAAAGAAGCGAAGCGAAAAGAAGCGAAGCTAAGAAAAGCAAAGCAAAGCTAAGCGCAGGTATGGGAAGCGAAGCGAAGCGAAGCTAAGGGTAGCGAACCGAAGCTAAGGGAAGCGAAGCGAAGCTAAGCGAAGCTAGGCGAAGCTAAGCGAAGCTAAGCGAAGAGAAGCGAAGAGAGGCAAGGCGAAGCGTAGCTAAGCAAAGCTAAGAGAATCGAAGCGAAGCGAAGCTAAGCGAAGTGAAGCATAGAGAGCAAAGCGAAAAGAAGCGAAGCTAAGAGAAGCAAAGCGAAGCTGAGCGCAGGTATGCGAAGCGAAGCGAAGCGAAGCGAAGCTAAGCGAAGCTAAGCGAAGTGAAGCGAAGCGAAGCGAAGCTAAGGGAAGCGAACCGAAGCTAAGGGAAGCAAAGCGAAGCTAAGCGAAGCTAAGCGAAGCAAACTGAAGAGAAGCGAAGAGAGGCAAAGCGAAGCTAAACGAAGCTAAGCGAAGCTAAGCAAATCTAAGCGAAGCTAAGCAAAGCGAAGCTAAGCGAAGCTAAGCAAAGCTAAGCGAAGCTAAGCGAAGCGAAGTGAAGCTAAGCGAAGCTAAGCGCAGCTAAGCGAGCGAAGCGAAGCTAAGCGAAGCGAAGCGAAGCAAAGTGAAACGAAGCAAAGCTTAGCGAAGCGAAGCGAACCAAAGCTAAGCAAAGCTAGGCGAAGCTAGGCAATGCGAAGCGAAGCTAAGAGAAGCTAAGCGAAGCAAAGTGAAGCTAAGCGAAGCGAAGCCAAGCTAAACAAAGCGAGGCTAAGCGAAGCGAACAGGAAGCTAAGCGAAGCGAAGCGAAGCTAATCGAAGCGAAGATAAGTGAAGCGAAGCTAAGCGAAGCGAAGCGAAGCTAAGCGAAGCAAAGTGAAGAGAAGCTAAGCGAAGCGAAGGGAAGCTAAGCGAATCTAAGCAAAGCTAAGCGAAGCAAAGCGAAGCTCAGCGAAGCGAAGCGAAGAGAAGTAAAGAGAAGCGTAGCAAAGAGAAGCCAAACTAAGAGAAGCAAAACGAAGCAAAGCGCAGCTATGCGAAGCGAAGCGAAGCTAAGCGAAGCGAAGCTAAGCAAAGCTAAGCGAAGCAAAGCGAAGCGAAGTGAAGCTAAGGGAAGCGAATCGAAGCTAAGGGAAGCGAAGCTAAGCGAAGCTAAGCGAAGCGAAGCAAAGCTAAGCGAATCGAAGCAAAGCCAAGCGAATCTAAGCGAAGCTAAGCGAGGCAAAGCGAAGCGAAGCGAAGCAAAGCCAAGCGAAGCTAATCGAAGCGAAGAGAAGCGAAGCTAAGCAAAGAGAAGCTAAGTGAAGCAAAGCGAAGTTAAGCGAAGCAAAGCGAAGCTAAGCGAAGCGAAGCTAAGCGAAAGCGAAGCGAAGCTAAGCGAAGTGAAGCGAAGCGAAGCGAAGCTAAGCAAAGCGAAGCGAGCTAAGCGAAGCTAAGCGAAGCTAAGCGAAGCGAAGCGAAGAGAAGCGAAGAGAGGCAAAGCGAAGCTAAACGAAGCGTAGCTAAGCGAAGCTAAGAGAAGCAAAGCGAAGAGAAGCGGAGCGAAGCTAAGCGAAGCGAAGCGAAGCGAAGCTAAGCGAAGCGAAGCGAAGCGAAGCTAAGCGAAGCGAAGCGAAGAGAAGCGAAGAGAGGCAAAGCGAAGCTAAACGAAGCGTAGCTAAGCGAAGCTAAGAGAAGCGAAGCGAGGCGAAGCTAAGCGAAGCGAAGCTAAGCGAGGCGAAGCAAAGAGAAGCGAAGAAAGGCAAAGCGAAGCTAAGCGAAGCAAAGCTAAGCAAAGCTAAGAGAAGGGAAGCGAAGCTAAGCGAAGTGAAGCGAAGCGAAGCAAAGTGAAGCTAAGTGAAGCTTTGCGAAGCTAAGTGAAGCGAAGCGAAGAGAAGCGAAGAGAAGCGAAGCGAAGCTAAGCGAAGCTAAGAGAAACGAGGCGAAGCTAAGCGAAGCAAGGCGAAGCTAAGCGAAGCTAAGGGAAGCGAAGCAAAGCGAAGAGAAGCGAAGAGAAGCGAACCAAAGCTAAGCGCAGCTATGCAAAGTGAAGCAAAGCAAAGGGAAGCGAAGCAAAGCAAAGCTAAGCGAAGCGAAGCGAAGCTAAGCGAAGCGAAGCAAAGCGAAGAGAAGCGAAGCGAAGCAAAGCGAAGCGAAGCGAAGCTAAGTGAAGCGAAGCGAAGCGAAGAGAAGCATAGAGAAGCGAAGCGAAGAGAAGCGAAGCTAAGAGAATCAAAGCGAAGCTAAGCGCAAGTATGCGAAGCGAAGCGAAGCTAAGCGAAGCGAAGCGAAGCTTAGGGAAGCGAACCGAAGCTAAGGGAAGCAAATCGAAGCTAAGCGAAGCTAAGCGAAGCGAAGTGAAGCTAAGCGAAGCATAGTGAAACGAAGCAAAGCTAAGCGAAGCGAAGCAAAGCAAAGCAAAGCGAAGCGAAGCGAAGCTAAGAGAAGCGAAGCGAAGCTAAGAGAAGCTAAGCGAAGCTAGGCGAAGCTAGGCGAAGCGAAGCAAAGAGAAGCAAAGAGAAGTGAAGCAAAGCTAAGCGAAGCAAAGCAAAGCTAAGCGAAGCAAAGCGAAGCTTAGCGAAGCTAAGAGAAGCAAAGCGAAGCAAGGCGAAGCTAAGCGAAGCTAAGGGAAGCGAAGCGAAGAAAAGAGAAGCGAAGCAAAGCTAAGCGAAGTGAAGCAAAGCAAAGCTAAGCGAAGCTAAGCAAAGCGAAGCTAAGCGAAGCGAAGCAAAGAGAAGCTAAGCGAAGCTAAGCGAAGCGAAGCTAAGCGAAGCGAAGCTAATCGAAGCTAAGCAAAGATAGGCGAAGCTAGGCGAAGCGAAGCTAAGAGAAGCAAAGAGAAGCGAAGCAAAGCTAAGCGAAGCAAAGCGAAGCTTAGCGAAGCTAAGAGAAGCAAAGCGGAGCAAGGCGAAGCTAAGCGAAGCGAAGAGAAGAGAAGCGAAGCAAAGCTAAGCGAAGTAAAGCAAAGCGAAGCCAAGCGAAGCTAAGTGAAGCGAAGCGAAGCTAAGCGAAGCGAAGCTAAGCGAAGCTAAGGGAAGTGAACCAAAGCTAAGGGAAGCGAAGCGATGCGAAGCTAAGCGAAGCCAAGCGAAGTAAAGCGAAGCGAAGAAAAGCGAAGAGAAGCGAAGCGAAGCTAATTGAAGCGAAGCGAAGCGAAGAGAAGCATAGAGAAGCGAAGCAAAGAGAAGTGAAGCTAAGAGAATCAACGGGATGCTAAGCGCAGGTATGCGAAGCAAAGCGAAGCTAAGAGAAGCGAAGCTAAGGGAAGAGAACCAAAGCTAAGGGCAGCAAAGTGAAGCGAAGCGAAGCGAAGAAAAGCGAAGCTAAGCGAAGCTAAGAGAAGCGAAGCGAAGCTAAGAGAAGCTAAGCGAAGCTAAGCGAAGCTAATCGAAACGAGTCGAAACTAAGCGAAGCGAAGTGAAGGTAAGCGAAGCGAAGGGAAGGTAAGCGAAGCGAAGCGAAGCTAAGCGAAGCTAAGCGAAGCGAAGCGAAGCGAAGCGAAGCGAAGCTAAGCGAAGCGAAGCGAAGCTAAGCGAAGCGAGGCTAAGCGAAGCGAACATGAAGCTAAGCGAAGCGAAGCAAATAGGAAGCTAAGCGAAGCTAATCGAAGCAAAGCGACGCGAAGCGAAGCGAAGCAAAGCTAAGGGAAGCTAAGGGAAGCGAAGCGAAGTGAAGCTAAGCGAAGCGAAGCTAAGGGAAGCAAAGCG